TTTGGGAGCATGGCGAAATTCGCCATCACGCCATGGAAATACGTTTGTCTCTCATTTCTTCAATCATTGTGACATCGCCACACAATTTCTGATGAGTGATCCTACTCTGACCCCTAATAGAAATGGACAGCTGAAGTTTGTGGGCGTGGCCTATTTTCTGAAATAGCGCCCCCTAGGACCATTAAAACTGTCAGCCCCAAGCCATGCTTTGACTGAGGATCACGAAATTTGGCACACTAATGTAGTGTCTCAGGACCTACAAAAAAGTCTCTTGGAGCCAAGCGCAATGTCGCGCAGAAAGTCGGCCATTTTGGTCCAAGTACTTGATTTAGTGGTTTTCGCACACGTTGTTTGGAGAGTGTTGCACCGTCGCCCTTTTCATCAATCGCCTTCAAACTTCTGCTATATACTCTTACGACAAAGGGGAAAAAATTCAACCATCGGATTTTAAATAAGTATAAAGGTGTGGGCGTGGCTAAGCCTCAAACTTTGACCTTTTGCCATTACTTAGTTGACTTAACAACTCCCATGTGCATGATCAGATCTATATCAAACTGTGTCTGTGTGATCATTGACCACATCTCAAGACAATGACAATGTGGACAGCTGACATCACCTAAGCCCCGCCCCCTGACTACAGGAAGTCTATTGTTTTATGGTGAAATGCCCATATTTGTCCTCTCTAATTTAGTCAACATGACACTAAGGTCAGTCGCTGTCTTCATGATGTTGTAATGACCATAATGATCATTCAGATCTGATAGCTTTCCAGATAGGGAGGGGCTTTGATGCCATGGCGAATTCTGGCGTGACGCCGTGACCTTACGTTTGCCTGTAACTTCCACTAACAGCCTCCGATCTGCCCGAGACTGAACATGGCAATCAACAATCATGCCCTTTATTCAACGAGGCACACACGGTTGGTGAATGTTGTGTAATGTCACCACAGCGCCCCCTACACAACATTAAAACTGTAATAACTCCTACAGACGAGGTCGTAACTGCACCAATCTTGCTATGTGTACTCACACAAAGGCACCCACCACAATCCTGGGGTAAGTTGTTGATATCGCTTTAGCTCCGCCCTCTGACATATATCAGGCCCTGAATAACACATGCATGATGCAATTCACACCAAACTGCACACAAATGACTGTCATCAACCTACAAACTTCTTCATGGAATAATTCTTAAATTTGGGACAGCGCCCCCTAGATACAAAAAACCTTTGTAACTTCTGCAAAAAAGCTCCACAGTTCAGATCAGACGCGCCCCAGTCGAGGCGCGCCTCGGCTCAGCTGTAGTTTATCTTTTAAACACTTGGGTGTCCTCCATTTCCTCTCTGCCTTTTCTCAGCTCTTTTCCTCTACGTTTGAGTGTTTGTACATGTGTGTGTGTGTGTGTGTGTGTGTGTGTGTGTGTGTGTGTGTGTGTGTGTGTGTGTGTGTACCTATGGTATGAGTTGTTTCTGCCAGTTGAATCTCTTGGAACCCGCTCCAATTCTGCAGCTGTATCCTAGCAGTTTCTTCCGAAATGGGTACGTAAATAACCATGTTTTTCGGGGGTTGTACAGCTCCTTGTTTTTCTCAACTTTGAGCTTTAAGCACCTCGTGATTTTTATCTTGAGAGGTGCTATAGAAATGATGTTTTCTTCTTCTTCTTCAACTTCCATAATTAATTTAAAGTCATCCATCTTAACTACTTGCCTCAGACTTTCTGCTTCTCTGTCCTGTTTGCTCCGGAAAAAAAGACACCCAAAACCACACACCCCTTCACGTGGTCACACATGCACACAAGTTCGATGTGTGTGTGTTCGTGTGGTTTTTCTGCAGTGTCTGATTTCGAACACATTTGACTATTGTGGAATTTTATTTAGAAATGTTTTATTTACTTAAATTTACCGGCCTGCCTCTTATGTCTAGGTTTGACTTCCTGCCAGAATTGACGCGATTCACTCGCGGCTCGCGAAAAAAATAGAGCTGATGCCGAAATGATGGCTGCACAGCGCGGGCTGGAGTGCCGGCGTGAGGCTATTCGCGGCGCTTCAGCGGCCCATGTGGTCTATAGAATAGCTTAACAAGGGTGCCGAATGAAGGCGGTCCCATTTTTGCGGCGCTTCCGCGGCGCTTCCGCGGCCGGTGTGTCCCCGGCGTAAGCTTGACAGCTCTACACCACATTGAAAATTAACATTCATAGATTCACTCATCTTGGCTCTTGACAGGGAAGGCTGTTGTTGGTTTAGCGTCCAGCAGAGAACATCTCGGTTAGTAGAAGCTAACTGTTAGCATTAGCAACTCCACCACACAGCAGAAGTCCTCCAGGCTTGGGTTATGGGTTGGTGAAACATCAGTGTTGCAGAGCAAAGAGAGTGAGTGGTAAAGTCACATTGCTGTTAGTCAATCAGAGGAGAGATGTACAAATATCAAGAAGTAAGAGTCCAGCTCCTGTAGAGGTGAACACAATCCTGGGGTAATTGGTTGATATTGCTTTAGCTCCTCCCCCTGACAGATATTAGGCCCTGAATAACACATGCATCATGCAATTCACACCAAACTGCACACAAATGACTGTTATCAGCCTACAAACTTCTTCATGGAATATTTCCTAAATTTGGGACAGCGCCGCCTAGACTCAATAAAACCTTTGTAACTTCTACAAAAAAGCTCCAAACTATATCAAACTTTGTGAGAGTCATCACACAACTGCAATCGACACATGAATGTGTTCACTTGTTCAAATCACTTTACCTCCGCCCACTTACAGCTTTTTGTCTCTAGATGGCCCATGCAACGTTTGATTGATGCCAAATCAACAGGAAACCATCTTTGATGACCAAGGATGACCTCTATGGCATTTAGTTGTAAATGGTCACACCGCACCCTGGACGGATTCAAATTTTATTAACTTCTAAAGACAAGGTCAGAATGGCATTGTACTTGGCTTGTGACATCACGTGAATGCACCAAACACATTGATGTGGTTGTTGGTTCAAATCCCTGTAACTCTGCCCCTTTCAGCTCACTGGCTCTAGATAGAACACACAACGTCTGATTGATGCCAAAATAACAGAAAACCATCTTTGTCAACCAAAGTTGACTTCAATGGGATTTTTCTGTGGTTGGTCACAATGCCCCCTAGATAACTTTAACTTTTGATAACTTTAAGAAACATGGCCAGAAAAGCATTAAAGTTGGTCTGTGTCATCATACCACCAGTGTGATAAAGATAGAGTATCCCCTAGTGGTGAGACTTGTAATTCAATGGAGAGCTCAGAGGGGATGCTTAGTCAGGGTGAGATGCAGAGCAGCGAAGCTGCAGCTGCGAGATCGCAGATACAAGCGGTTGAAATGAGTTTTCTCTGAAGATTGGCTGGCCTCTCCCTTAGTGATAGGATGAGAAGGTCGGTCATTCGGGAGGGGCTCGGAGTAGACCCGCTGCTTCCTCCAGATTGCCAGTTGAGGTGGCTCGGACATCTGATCAGGATGCCTCCTGGACGCCTCCTTGATGAGGTTTTCCGGGCACGTCTAACCGGGAGACCTAAAGGTAGACCCAGGACACGGTGGAGGGACTATGTCTCTCACCTGGCCAGGGAACGCCTTGGGATTCCCCCGGAGGAGCTGGCCCAAGTGGCTGGGGAGAGGGAAGTCTGGGCCTCTCGGCTTAGGCTGTGACCCGACTCCGGATAAGTGGATGAAAATGGAGGGATGAATGACTTTTACGGTTTTTAGCCTTTTAGAATAATGGTTTTACCAGTAATCAACACATTTAGCAGGGCAACACAGGGATTTGAACCCTGTCCCACAAGTGGGAGACCAGACCATTGCCTTTGCTTTTTTGTGAATTTTACCAGGTAAAGCAAACCCTGCATTAAAACAGCATGAAATTCACCAGTTTAATTTTTATTATACATAATTTGGTGTGGAATTGTTTCATCATTCAATAGTGATGAATGAAAAGCCAATTGTACTAAAGGTTTTCAGTTTAATTTCAAAAAATGCCATCTTAATGCAAGAAACGAAACCTTTAGAAAGCTTTTAAACACATTTAATTTTGACGTAAAAAATATATGTTTAAAAGCTTTCCAATACATTCCAAAATACATTTTGCAACAAAGATGAATACACGCACACACACACACACACAATTACACTCACAACATTAAAATAAAATTAGTGTATTAAATGCTGATCTGGACAGATACGTTTTTAGTTTTGATTAAAAAGTGGGTGAGAGAGTAAAGTGGAGGAAAAGGGGGAAGAGAATTGTAGATGTGGGAAATGGCTAAATGCTATGTTGACTAGGTCAGTAGGAGACACAAAATTTGAAGAAATCACAGAAATGGTGACACATACAGCAGCAGTTAGTGTTTTTGCTACATAGGCTCATGCGTGGCGCTGCAACACACCTGAAATTCTAGTGCCATGGCAAATGCACGACACCAAAACATTCCGCGTGCTATTACCCCTTCGTTCCGCTCATGACATCGAAATAGTTTGAATGTACATCAGAGAAATCTCAAGACCCACACTTTGAAAAGCTATCTACACTCCTACGCGCACACATTCTCCTCCTCCAACCTCTGCTCTCACAGATGGAACGTGGCAGCAAAGTTGTCCTGGGCATGCACAGCCCCTCCACGGCCGATGATGGCACTGAAACATGTACACTGCTTAACAACAACACATCCAAAATATTTAATATATAAAAGTTTTGCCTGATTACATTTACAATATAAGTTTATTGCCATTGCATGGGTGTACAACGAAATCGACTTGCTTTCAGTAGAGACAGCTCATGTAAAGAAAGGTAAAATATTGGTACAACAAAGCTAAAAGTGATCACACACACACACACACACACACACACACACACACACACACACACACACACACACACACACACACACACACACACACACACACACACACACACACACACACACACACACACACACACTACATTCAAGTGTTGATCAAATCAAATCTGTTTTTTGAGGTAAACTAAAGCCGTGTCAAATCACAAATGATGCCCTGATGATCACTAAAATATGTTGGAATAACAGATGCTTCTGTTATATACTTGTTGGATTTTACATAGACATGATCTATTAAAGTGCCTTTTTCAGTTGTTGGCTGTTTGACTATTTGGGCATAGCCTCTGTCAGTCAAAAGTTTTAATATTGTTGATGATTTTAAAATGTCATCATTAAAATCTCCCATTAGTACTAATGTCTCGCTTTGTACCTCCAGCCAATCAAGCAACTTTGTTAAATTAACTTTAAACAAAGAAAGGGGATACAAAGGAGGTCGATAAATCAGTCCAAGTACTATGTGTAAGTTAACAAAGCTATACACTAAACTCTCCAAGTTGACGTCTGGAGCCTGCAACATTTTAAATGCCACACCATCTGCAGTATAAAAGCCAACACCACCATGTTGTTGTTCTTGAAAAGCAATCAATGACTCATGGGTACTAGAATAAGCTAAACCTCGTGGGCAGTTGTAAAAACTATAGCCATCAATCTGTACTGCATCTGATCTGTCTGTAGATACCCATGTTTCTGTGACAGCAATGCAATTAGGTTGCAAATGCTGTGTGCAGAAAGCTAAGTCTTTAACGTGTCGATTCAGACTTTGGACATTCATTAAAAACACAGTGAATGCAGAAGAGTTAAATCTGTCGAACTGTGAGTTTGGAGTCAAAAAAGGTGTCATATTACTAACTGCAACTGTAATGTCATCTTTACAATAGATTCGTTTTTCATCAAAGTCCTGAATTGTGAGTCCTGAAAGACTTGTTACACGGCTAAGTGCTACATATGCTTGACCTGGTGCAAATATTTTCCTAAAACTAACAACAGCGTTTTCAAGAGTGAGTCCCTGAACTTTATGAACCGTAACCGCCCAAGCTAATTTAAGAGGAAATTGTCGCCGTAATCCACCTTTAACAGTGGCCCTTTCCTCCTCGGGTTCAATAGGTGTAGATCCAGCTAAATTTGATGACAGAGACTGGGAGGTTTTCCTCCTCTGCAAGCCGACACGATGGTCATCAAACTGAACATAAACTTTTTTAGGAAAGGTGTCATTTTCTAACATTTTAATTTCTGTCACAGTACCACAAATTCCGTTTACTAAACCGTCAATGACATCCACATTTTTACACAACATTACACGCGCACCCTTACCCAACTGTAACACTTCTGACAAGTTAGTATTAGAAGCTCTGGCGTGATTCCCTTCCAACAACTTCAGTTTGCCTGTTCTTTTATCATTAACATAATCTTTGGCTGTAATTGATATGTAATCAGGACAAACGTGACATAACTGATGGATGTTGTGATTATTTACTTGATTATTTGTTGCAAATATGTGCAATGCTGAGCTTGCCTCACCTGTTTCACAAGTTTTTAAAACCTTTAAATCCTCAGGTAACAATGGTGTACCTTTTGTATGAGTTCTGATTCTATTTAGCAGTCCAGAAAACACAGCATCTTTCTGTCTAACGACTTCAGTTAACTGTACAACTTTAAATAGGCTTGACCATAAGTTGCTACCTACACCATCAGAATAGAGTGGCTTCCCTTTAACAGGAGGTAGCTGGAAGAAATCTCCAACGGCCACTACACTGACACTTCCAAAAGATGAAAAGTCACCCGTTTGTTTAATCTGACGTAATCTACCATGAACATAGGACAACAGGTTATGATCTACCATTGATATTTCATCAATAATAAGGAGCTGCAGATCACAATATTTTGTACGTAAAGAATTTAGTTTTTCTTCACCCAGAGGAGTGTACGGTAAGCGCACATCCTTTCCTATAGACAGTGTAGTGTGGATTGTTGTTGCACCTAAATTATATGCTGCAATCCCAGTAGGAGCTGCCAATACTACACATGCATTGTCAGGATGTCTACAGCTTGGTGACAGTAATCTCTGTGTTTCATACTCTATTGCTCGAATTAAATGACTTTTCCCAACGCCCGCCCCGCCTGTAACAAAAACATGCAGTGGTTCAGGGTTATTACCATTAACTTTATCTACACACCACTGCCTGATTTGATTAAAAACAGAAAACTGCTTTTCATTTAAAGACCTAATCAATGCCAGACCTTCACCTCTACTCATCGTGTTTCTCTTCTCTAAATGTGCAATTTGGTTTGAACATGGAGCCAAATCTGGGATTACTTCTGCCTCGTCACTTACTGTCGGTTCTGATTCTTTCAGTATTTCAACACACTCCAAACGTTCCATTTCAACTGCCGGACACAACTCACACCATGCATCTTCTAACATTACATCACCGACTATATTATTCACAGCGTCCAAATGATCGGATTCTAATTCAAATTTACCCCGATTTAAATCTACAACAGCCTTTACCGAGTGGTTTGTTCTATCAAAAAATCTAACTAAACCAGTTCTGTAAAATTCCTCAAAGGTTTCACAGTTAAGCTTAAGTTCACCATCATGGCGGTACGGCAAAAACAACTGCAACATGCTTTGATAAAATTTCTCTGAGTCTTTTGTTTCAGAGAAACGCGCGTAACGAACAACCGCTGGTTTAGTCCGAGTTCTTTTTGTAACAAATCCTAAATCATTACTTAACTTTATAGGATTTCTACATTTTTCGTTTTTACTCAAAACACGATATTCTGATGCAAACGTAGCCAGGCACATATCATTGAACACATCATCATTTGGCCTCTTCTTATAGCGATCAACTAATCCGGTCATCCACATGTCATCTGAAGTAAGATCCTGTGATGCTGCTTTTTGCCTCAAAACAGAAATAGGCAAACTCATTTTCACTATATTATCACCGGTGGGGACAAACACAACTTTCCTAGAACACTCCTTTAGATGCATGTTAGTTAGCCTGTAGACTGCTTCCTGCGCACAAACATCTCGATTATGAAGATAAACATTACCAAGACTCTTCAAGGCCTCTTTAGCACTAAGATTACCATCTTTGGCTGCTTCCCTTTGAGAATTAGCAAGCAGAAGGCCAATTTCCCGTTCACTTTTAGACATGTAAGATATTATGTATACACAGCACGCATAAGCATCGACGCAATACTGGATATCAAGATTAGCATTCCAAGCTTTTAACAGCAACTTGCTATACTGATTAATCCAGATTTCATTAACTTCCCTTTTCAAAACAACATGTGTATTTCGACTAAATCGTTTATATGCCATCTCAAATAGTTCCTGACTGATACCCAGGCCCTGAAACAGACCTTCTACACTGTTATATGGACAGTCTTCACTAGAAATAGCAGTCTTTACTTTAGTTAAAATGGCACTTGCTACTTCTTTGTCCATTTCCTGTTTACGAGCTTTATCTTGAGACGCACAGGCACACTGTACAGTGCTATCTGTTTTATCACACTTGCAAGTCTTCACTGCGTCTTGATACTTTTCGCCACGGCTAATAAAAGTTCTAACAGATGCGGGTCGTGGAAAATTAAAACGACAAACAGTTTTTTTCTTTCTACAAGTCTTTGAATGCCGTTTGGAGTGCTGCTGGACAGATGAGACGACTTCATGTAGTGAATTGTCTTCAGAAGGAAGTTCACATGTCACATATTCATCAACAAATGCAATGACCTCCTCATCTGTGTTCTTATCTAAAATGGGAGCACCAGAAACCCAGAAAAGGCAATGACAGTGAGGAGAACCACGCTGCTGGAACTCAACACGATAATAATAATCTTCTATTTTACCAATGGGATTGGCAGGAGACATTAGCACTTCCCTTAAGAAGACATGCCATCTAAAATCAAACATTCGGGCAGCAGTTACTGGATTCCTACGTAGGAGGTCACATTTATCAGCCCACTCCAGCTGTTCCACTGTCTCTGTTCTGCCTTCCTGTTTCAAAATACTATAAAGAAGGTTAGTCCACCTCAAATCTGCCGAAGAAAATGATGCGAACCAAGTAGGTTTGCCCAACATTTTTACACAAGCCAGGAGGTCTCGCTGAGCAGATTGCCAAAAAGCAGGTGTGCCGCGAATTGGTTTAAGAAACCGGTAGCCATCATCAAACTCTAACAGCTTATTTAAAGAATCCTGATCCTGTATCAAATTACCCAACTTCTGAGATTCACCGCTTTTACCTTTACGCAAAGCTATAGAAACTTTGGACACAACCTGCTCTAGTTCAGACATGTACTGTGCAAAAAATATATATTCTACATTGTTAGCAAATCGACCATCGACATGAAGAAGCCTGTTGTTGAAATACCGATTCAGAGTCAAACGAAATTGTCTGCTTTCATAGTAAGTATTCGATCCTGAAGGAAACAAGACGGGAAAACTTTTTGCTTCATTTGTAAAATCTGAAAGCAATTTCACTGGATTGTTACCTTCACCTGGAGCTACATTTAATATGTTATCTACATACTGGTCCAATGCTTCTTGTCCTATATCTACTGGCATGAGACAGGTGTCCTGAAACATACAGTGTTGTTGTCTGTCATGCAATAACTCATCTTCTCCATCTATGCAAGTATCTTCATCTTTACCAGAACCACTATCCTCTTCCAAGACAGATGACTCATCTTCCTGAGTAAATGTGTTAATCCAAGACTCATTGAACTCTACATCTTTATAATGCAAATTATGACGTTTTAAATACTGAAGAGCTTCCTGAACATGCTGTGTGTCAACATACTGATAATCATAGTGTCCTTTATATGTCAATTTACGCTTTAACTTTACAGGTAATAAAGACCCCTCCATGTTGGTACGTGGTAACAAACTGCACGTTTCCACTATATTTGCAGGTACACAAGTGACAGGACCATGAATCCCATTCTGACCACCTTTGGGCAGAGCCAACATTTTCATAAAGGGTATATTCATCGCTATTAAATGTTGCTCTAATGTATTTAAACATGCCAGTTGAGGTGGGATGGGATCAACAGTCAGCTTGTTGATTGAACTTTCTGGGGGTATCTGACATTTACTAATTTTATAATGACACGTGTAACAGATGTACAGTTTATTTCTACATACATTCAATTTGCAAGGTAATCTACATGCATCATTGCATTTGTGCAGATGATTGTCACTTACACATTTATCTGCTATAAGTGACATTTCTTTGGTTTTTCTATAGTATTCTTGATTACAGTTTAAGACCTGATGTCTAAACAACAACCGTGAGCAGACACAACACACAAAATCAGGTCCATCTTTCACTTTCTCTAAAAATTGATCTACAACAAAATTAAAGTTTTGTGAATTTACTTTAATCAGCTTTCTTTTATGCTGGATACTTTCTATTAAACATGTTTTATGCTCAATATTAAGGTATTTCTTTCTAGTCAACTCTTTCATTTTGTCACGATGAGCCAAATTATGACGATACTTATACACACTCATCTGTTTAAGCTTCTCTCGATGAGCCAAATTATGACGGTAGTTATACACACTCATCTGTTTAAGCTTCTCTCGATGAGCCAAATTATGACGATACTTATACACACTCATCTGTTTAAGCTTCTCTCGATGAGCCAAATTATGACGATACTTATACACACTCATTTGTTTAAGCTTTTCTCGATGAGCCAAATTATGACGAGAGTTATACACACTCATCTGTTTAAGCTTCTCTCGATGAGCCAAGTTGTGACGATATTTATACACACTCATCTGTTTAAGCTTTTCTTGAAGAGCTAAGTTATGACGATACTTATACACACTCATCTGTTTAAGCTTTTCTTGAAGAGCTAAGTTATGACGATACTTATACACACTCATCTGTTTAAGCTTTTCTTGATGAGCTAAGTTATGACGATACTTATACACACTCATCTGTTTAAGCTTTTCTTGATGAGCTAAGTTATGACGATACTTATACACACTCATCTGTTTAAGCTTTTCTTGATGAGCTAAGTTATGACGATACTTATACACACTCATCTGTTTAAGCTTTTCTCGATGAGCCAAATTATGATGGTAGCTATAACTGGTCCTCTTTTTAACTTTTTCTTTGTTAGAAAAGTTGTGATGGTAGTTAAACAAAGCCATCTTTTTCACTTTCTCTTTATGTGCAAGAAGAAATTTGTATTTAAATTTGGTCGCACTGATCTTTTTCATTCTGTAAGCAACATTTTGCTTGTATGCATTTTTCTTCTGACTTTTTATTTTGTCTTTAACTGCATTTACCATTTTATAATTAGAGGCTTCTGCATAAGCCTTATTTTGCTTTAAATATCTGGAAAAACTCTTCCTCGTTTTCATCTTTTCCATGTTTGGGTCAGCATTTAATTGCATCATAGTTGACCTTCTGCATTTGTTTACGTTGTCTGACAAAGAATCAACTTTACAAAACCCAAAACATGTTTCTTTATTACCCAGTCTTATGCAAAGAACGGGTTCAAAATGATTATTACAGTTTGACAAATATAGTCCCTCAGTGACAAAATTACTAGTTTGATAACTATATTTGACCCACTCTGTGCCATTGTTGATAAATATGGGTATTCCTAAAACACTAGCTGTAGTTCTAAATTCTACCTCTGTAGCACAGTGACCGACATAATTCATCTGTGACGTTTTTATGTATTCTGACACAGAAGCATGTTCTTTTCCCAGAAAGTTCTCACACTCTTCAGCATTTTTGGACATATAAGAAACAACAGCGAGTCTGATCTTACGATGGCCCTTCTGTGACCCACTAATTACATGAGCTACAGCTCTAAAAAAACTGTTACCATCTTCAATAATATGTTCTGTCTTACACACATTTCCTAAAGGCCCACCTGATGTGGATTCTTGAGAATTGTGTTTCTCAAAATCTATTTTCAACCGATTACACAGAGTTTTACAAAAATCTGCAGACATAGGAGTAAATAAAGTATTTGAATGAACAACACTAACACCATCTGTATCTATGGAACTCGGCTCAAGCGTCACAGTTTCTACTGAACATTTTAAATGTTCTGTAGGGGCATGTCGAGTATTGTATCTACCAGAAATACTATTTACAGGGCCACAATAACCATAACAAGTTCCTGTGTTAGGTTGTTTTACACAAACCACTGTCTCATAATGGTTACCATTACTATTCTCCAAATAAACAGCCTGCTGTGAAAAGATGCTGTTGGATGTATATTTAAGCCATTTATCATTACAGTAAGTAAATATGTTAATGCCAAAATAATCAGCAGCAGCTTGAATTTCCACTTCAGTTGCCCAACTGCCAACGTACTGCATCCTGGATGAGGTGAGGTACTGCGAAACCGAGGAATACTCACTTCTTAAAATGGTTTGATACATTTGAGGATTCTTTTTTAACTGATTGACCAAAGCAAGACGGATTTTTCTATGATATTCCTGGGTGCTAGAAATAGCTTGACTAAGTGCTCTAAAAAAACAGTTTCCATCTGCCACTATTGATTTATTCATGCATGGTACACCCAATTCACCAATCACACGAGATGATTCATCAACCATTGCCGACTTCACATTCAGACGTTTACTCAACACCTGAGACACGTCCCTAGAAATGGGATTGAAATGAAAATCTTTAGTGCTAACATCACTAACAAAAACAACAGGGTTTATGTCGGTGTCATCTGTCTGTAACTTTTTTGGTTCCGAGAGTGGAAATGACTCTTCACGTCTAACCTCCTTTCCTGTTGTTGGAGGCAACCTTGTTTGTTCAAAAACATTTTTCAATGTGTCCATCTGAACAATGTTAACTCCACTGATCTCAAACAACTTCTGAGTTCCATTTAATTTACTGGCAAACCTCTGAATATATCTAAAAACATTGTCAAGACTACTAAAGTATAGAATTACACTTTTACCGTTTGGGTCAACCATTCCATCTGCAGAACGAGCATGTGAATCAACAATAGCATAATGTCCATCTTCACTAAGTAAAGCGCAAGTATTGTCTCCAAGTGTAATAAAACATGTTTCATATTGTGTACACATCTTATTCAAACCATCCCAAAGACTAGTGTACACTCCAGCATTTATAAGTTCACCTTCAACGATATCTACATTTCCACAAACAAAATCCCCATAATTCAACTTAAAAGTCTGTTTGCCCATAACGATTTCCTTTGGCAATTCTGGAACAGAAAGAAACACATTCCCAGCACTTATTAGATCACTGTCGCGTAAATATGTGTACAGCTCATCGCCCAAAACAACAACATTGTCTAACATGGCAAAATCCCATGAAAAAACACTTTGTATGTTGTGCTTAGTTAAAGCAACAAGACTTATTGCTGCACACTGAACGCCGCCATATTTAAAACGCCCATCGCTCTGATTAAATGATCCTGTAAGTGAGCTTAAAATTGTATCATTGTTTACAATACTGTTGTCATCATCAACGTTAACCACACTTGTGCTACATGAAGGAACAGGAGATGATTCAACCATCGCAGACTTCACATTCAGACATTTACTCAACGCCTGTGACACGTCTGTAGAAACGGGACTGAAATGAAAATCTTTAGTACTAGCATCACTAACAAAAATAACAGGGTTTATGTCAATGTCATCTGTTTGTTCAGATACATTTTTAAATGTGTCCATCTGAACAATATCCACTCCAGTGATCTCAAATAACCTCTGAGATCCCACCAGTTCACTAGCAAACCTCTGAAAATGTTGAAAAACATTATCAAGGTTCGCAAAGTACAGAACTACACTCTGTCCTGTCGGGTCTACCATGCCGTCTGCGGAGCGTGCATGGGAATCTACTACAGCATAACGTCCATTATCACAAATGATAGCACAAGTATTGCCACTTAATGTCATAATGCAAGTTTCATGCTGTGTGCACATCTTCTTCAATCCATCCAGGAGAGGAGTGTACACACCAGCATCTATTAACTCGCCTTCAGCTACATCTACATCTCCTAAAACGAAATCCCCGTAAACAAGCTTAAAACTCTGTTCTTCCATGTCAATTTCCTTTGGCAAGTCTGGAACAGAGAGAAACTCATGTCCACCTCTAATCTTCTTGTTGTCGCGCAAATCTGTGTACAGCTCATCTCCTAACTCAACAACGTTATCCAACACGGCAAAATCCCAAGAGAAAACACTCTTCTGTTTGTGCTTTGTTAAAGCAACAACAGTAATAGCTGCACACTGAACTCCCCCATATTTAAAACGCCTATCGCCCTGATGAAATGATCCTAGGACAGAGTCTAAAATTGTATCATCGTTGTGTAAAATTGTTTTATCTTTATCAAAATTATTTACAACAGGATTTTGAACAGTTGTCTCTGGAACTAGAGACGACAGCAAAACCTGTGAACGCACGCAAGAAGGGGTGTTAGCAGACTGACCTCTGGGTGATGCATGCGCGTGATGGCCAGAACGAAGCATCACAGCATGGGCAGCAACAGACCCAGAGACAGACCCAGGACAACCAGATGCCTCCTGATGGTGGGGTGAAGGCAGCTGGTCACAGTCCAACACCTATACAGAAGAAATTAAAGGTCAATACATCGTCAATAAAGATTAGTTTAGTTTTTATATTTGAAACACACGCTTCTTACCTCCTTCCTAGACCGAACAGACTCCACGTCTGCAAGAGGATTTATGCAAGGTGTGGATGCAACCTATAATTCAAGAACAACAACGGTGAAGAAAAATAACACCACAATGTATTTGTATGCCAGATAATTTAATGAATCAACCTCCTGCTGGACACGCCTAGCTGCTTTCTTAAAATGTCGCACAGATGTAGTCTACAAACAGAAAATAATACGGTTAAGTACAATACTTTCAAATATACCATATAGACAGCCCATATTACAAGCATCAGGAACAACATTACACTTTACATTAAAAGATAATAATAAACTTTTGCTTTAAAGCTACCTGTATGTCTGTGGGACCATCCGCTGGAGCAATCGTGTCCATGGCAGCCAGAATTGAAGGTGAGAACCTAACGGGATTCAGGGGGATGAAACACTCCTTCAAGGCCACTGAAGTGTCATCAGCCTATTGAAGAAAATTCACCACATATTATCATCTAATCAAAATTCTTTGAAAAAGATAAATCAAAAACATTCACAAACCTTAGAAACAACCACTCGTTTCTTGGGGGAATTAGAAGTCTTTTCAAATTCCCCTGAATGGTTCCTCTGCAATGGTAAATAAAAGAAAACACATTTAGAAGCATTACTGGCCCAGTTGCCTAAAATTATAAACATTTTACAATATTTATACTTTATAAAGTCTCTCACCTTCCCGCTAGGTCTCACAAACGTCCATTCGGAAGGGCGTGGAGGTGGAATGCGTTCCACACCCTTCACAACCACACGGGGCACAATACTCGCTTTCTGCGGACGAGACACCTGGTGCTGCACCAGTGGCTTTGGTGCGTGTGTCTCCAAGAACTGATAGGAGGCATTCCACATCAGTTGCGTGAGTATAGGCATCCCGTGATTATCACTGAGGTGGATCTGCAACCACAAACACGAACAAAAGAAAATACAAATTTATCATCTCAAATTTAAGAACCTTTACCTTGTTTTCTTCCAAGCAATATACTTACACCATCACGGCACCACAGTTTAAGACGGTACCTGGGTAGGTGATCGTGGATCGGCACATAACTTACACCTTCGAAGCAGAAGGAAAAAATTCATGTAAAGTTATAAATTGTGATTGTTTGATACCTAAGAGTAAATAGCAATAACGCTTGTCGTTAATACTACCTTTTCATCTAATTATGTTACAACTTACCTAGCTTAGCCGATCTGCGGTGGTACTCCTGCTGAAACAGGTCTTGACGCTCCCAGGATCCAACTAAACGGGGAATCATGGAGGTACAGAAAACCTAAAAAAAAAAAAGAAGAAGAAAGAATACAATTATTTTTAAGGATGTACGTTTACTGTCATCTCTCATACCTTCAAAATTACACAAATCAGCCTCTCACCTTAGGCCAGCGACTGAGAACAGCCAAAAGGTACCGCTCAAATGCATCCCCTGCCTCTTCAACTGTTCTGCTGGCCGTAAGGTTGTTAGAAGGAGCCATGACGCAAACAGCATCAGGCTCCCGAGGTAACACAGCCTGTGAAACCTCAAGGCGCAGAAGATCTGCACAAGCTCCTGGAGTGGACATCACACCAAAAGCAAGGCCGCCAACCGGCATAGGGACTATGCCGTCTGCCACGGACCTCAAGTGGGAGTCCCCAACAAGTAGGACGAACTAAATTAGAAAAATTAATAAATACATTTCAATATAAAACAATCTGTATTTTTAGGACATTTCATACAAACGGCAATGCAATATGCTTTTCAGGAAGAAAGAGATCACATTAAACAGTCAAAGTTTACAAACAATAAAACATGAAATGGTAAAACTAATCACAGAATACAACAACATAAATACAAATAAAGATATGTAAAAATAACTGAGCAGCTTAAGTTCTAAATCACAGATTGAGAAGCACCGACTAAAAAGGAAGATGAACACAACTAGGTTTTCTATTAAGATTCAAAAGTTGGTAGACTTTAGGCACATGTCAAAAAGAAGCCGATTCAGTCTGTTTGCAGCACTGTAACTGATAACGGCTTCAACACCATCTGACCGTTTCCTTAGAATCCCAGAGTACTGCTAGATAGTATTGGAAGAAAATCTATATTTATATTTTAAATATTTGTGGACATTACACTCACTTTCTTGTCAGGAATCTCATCTGGAAGGACCAACTTGTGAGCTTTGTTAGAAATCACACTGGTAGGCCAACGACGAACTCGATGACGAAAGCCAGTTCCAGAAACTTACAAAACAAAAACACACACACAAAAATTAACAATCTTTTTGGCTAATAATTTTTCATCTTACATAAATACAGTATAGATTAAATGAATTGCAAAACACTACAATAATTTGTTCTGCGAAATAATACTGCAATACATACAATTAACATCATCGTTGCTGTGCCTTGGAATCCCGATTCGAATAGGCGGAGCTGGACGATTGCTGCGCTTAGCAGCATCCGCCTTGCGTTTGGACTCTTTGCCAGGCATAGTGAATGCTGTTTGAAACATAAAATACATGACAGCACTATTAGAAAAGCAACACAAACACTATGGATTTCTATGTTATCATGTGTCTGTACTCAGTAAAGACAGAATTAGACTCACTCACTCACTCACACCTTTTAGAATCTTATACAACCATCAATTTGCTAAACTTATATAATTGTAAAAACAATCCTAAATTTTAAAGAGCAAGTCACCCATGACCAGATTCTTACTCAACTCCCACTTCCTGTTTGAAAAATGCAACAAATGCTGTTGTCTAGCAGACCGAGAGGGTAGAGCCACAAACAAATACACACACACACACAACATTGTGACATAATAATGTACCATCTAACATCACTGTGTACCTCTTAGTCAATAGCTATGACAGATTTAAATTCAAATGTAGTGCAGAGTTTTTATCTGACAACGGCACAACACTGACAGTTTTAGGCAGAAAATTAAAATCTTAACTAAAATGCACTAAAGTGCAAAACTATTGACTACGCATTTCTGTAGCACGATTAGACACACATTTATATAGTTTATCAGAAAAAAAAGTTGATTTGGGGGCGACTTGCTCTTTAAATGAGTTAATCACAGTATAATCTAATTTAAAGGATAAAAATTAATAACTTGTGTGTGACATCTATGACAAAATACATTAACATAATTATTACTACTTTACTGATAACCCCTGAACAAGGAATCATAATATAAAAATGAAAATTTCTAATCAAACCCCAAGAATGTAGTTTTAAATCATGCTAAATTTCAAACTATTGTTTAAAAATATCAAAAGTTATTAAATGTCAAGTTTTATTAGAACTTACTTGCACTTATGAAAGTGCACATACACCTGCTGTATTCTATATAGAATGCTTAGACTAATTCAAATAGTCAGCAATACATATACTAAAAAACATTTATTTATAACTGCAATGTATGAAATATTCAGTCACAACATATTCTTTAATTTAGTCTTAAACAATGCAACTTTAATAGTTTAAACACCCCATTGTTATCAGTCAAACTTTTGAATAGTCTTATGGTATTTACATTATTTTACTTAATCTCAGTTTAGCTTTAAGTACTGTAACTTTTAATAACGTTTTACTTATTTCTACATTAAACTTTGCATGACTAAAAATAAACTCACAATATTACATTATTTTTATCATTATTTTTTCCCCGTGTCCTGTCTGGCTGTGAAGCAAACAGAATTGATGTCTGAATGCTGGTGAAAAGCCTTACAGATTTACTCTCAAGTGGAGCATCAAAGCTAATGTCACGTCTGATACTTTAAACTTTATTGTTTTTGAATACTTTGTAATTCCGACCAGACACGGAATCAGAGGCGAAAGATAAAGACAAAGACAAAAGGTGGGGGCAGAAAAGGGGGGGGGGGGGTTCCCACAAAAATAAACAATAATGAACAAGAGTCTGCTTCTAGGCCTGCAGAAAGAGAAAGAAGAGAAAAAAATGGGACACACAACACAACAGGAGCAAGCTATCACTGTGTCAACTTGAAGAAATACAATCACACAATAATAATAAATCATAGTGCATTTAGTGGCAACGACAGCCTTAAGACATGTGTTGAACGTGCCCAAGTCCATACTTATATGAGCACCTGTGTGTGTGTACACACGCTTGTTTATGTAAGGTTTCTCTATAGGAGCGTCCAATAGAGAGTGTGAGGGGCCACAGACCTGCCCCCAAAGATGTGTAGGAGACTAAGAGAGCTCCAAGTCCCAGAGATCCAGCCGCTGCCCCAGAACACAAAAACCCCAAGGAGACTGCAACCAGAAAGGCCCCCGCCCCCTTGAGAGGTGCAGAGGATTGCCCTGGGGGGACCACAACCAGCAGCTGGCAGAGACCTGGGAGATATCAGCGGCAAGCCCACCTGCAGCCTCCCACCCCCCGCCTGGGACCCAGCAGAGCCCAGGGACCCAGACCCCACCAGGCAGCCACCGGGATTGATCAGACAGATGCCAAAAATCTTAAACCCCCTGACCCGGGAGCCACGAACATTCAGGCAGATCAAGGTACCACACTCCACACCAGGTGTGGCAGGGAGAGGGGAGACGAAGATCTATATCATCAAAACAAGTCCCAGGAGAAGGGAGGAGTCAAAGGCCCCACCTGACATATACAGTCATACACAAACACAGTAATACACTCCCTCTCATGCTCACACATACACATACAACCAAAGACTTCTAAAAATGCACGCCAGACACCCACTTATGCTCCCTATACACACCCTAGTCCCGGTACTGCTGCACATTGGGTACAACCATTACTAGAGTTTGACCCTTTCTGCTGGGGTGCTGATGAACAGACTCCCCGCCCAACGCTGAGCACAGCAACCCACCACCCCAGACCCCAACCAGACAGCCAGATGTCCCTCTTAGCCTCCAGCCCCAGGAAGCCAAGCAACAACAGAGGTGTGCTAAGACCCCTAGTCTCCCTCCGCCTGCTCCAATATAGTTAGTGTTCGTTGATGAGGTGTATTCCATGGCTGTGGTGAGCGGGCAGTGCGGGCATTGTCTGCCCATGCCAGTTGATGCCACCACACCACCCCACTTGCACCCACAGCCCTCGGTGTCTAAGTGCACTTTAAAATTGGAAGTGGCCACCGGCACCCTGGAGGAGGCTGAGATATCCCCCTGCCAAATGCCGCTGAATGTGCTCACTCCCAAGGCCCTAAGTGTGTGTTTGTGTGGAATGTCGTCAGTGGAAGTGTATAAGGTGCAAATAAAATTGGGGGGCAGGTTGCCACAGGAATGCGGAAATGGGTCCATACCCGCACTCCCTGATATGCCCACCCCCCCAAGGTCCTATGTGTATGTTTGTGTGATGATGTGAGGGAGCAGGAGGAGAGAAATATGCGGGGATGGGGAGGAATGGCTGGTTGGGCTTAGCTCTCCAGGGAGCCAAAAATAAACTTTTGACAATATTACATTCAAATGTGAAAAACTACAAGTTTCTGTTAGAAACATAAAACAGAAGTGACTCAAATATGCACGTTACTTCCACGTTTTATCAGCAAAAAAAAGTTGATTTGGGGGTGACTTGCTCTTTAAGGGCAATTCTCATCTGTTTTGTTTGATCTCATCTGTAGACATTTATTATAATTGGGGATGTCAAACAACTAATTTTTAAATGTAATTAAACATAGGCTGTGAATTAATCAAAATTAATCACTATTTCCACAAATGACTGAAAAAATACCAAATAAACCAAAAGTAAATGAATGCCATCCTCCTTGTGATGATGCCCTGGGCAACTGCCATAAGTCACATCAAAAAATGCTGCTGATCATTCCAACGATCCCAAATAGACTCACATTAGACCACATGAAAGCAACTGAACCCAAAAATATATTAACCAGTAGGGCTGCTCAATTAATCGAATTTTAATCACGATTACAATCTGAGTTTTGAACGATTATAAAAAAACAAAACAAGCCGATTATTTGCTCCTCCCGCTTGCGCTGCCCTGAGTTGCAAATGAAGCGTTCCTCCACAGTGTTGCCAACTTAGCGACTTTGACACTATTTCTAGCAGCTTTTCAGACCCCCTTCTTGACTTTTCAAACTTAAAAGTACCTAGCAAACACCTCAGAAACATCTCTGGGAACCCTTAGCTATTTTCTGGATAACTGTCGTCAACATTTCCTGCAGGTTAGCTAAACAGCTCTCGGAGCTGGCTCCCTGTTGGATTAACCAGAGTGAGTGACACACACACCGCACCTGCGGACTCCTGAGCCACTAAAAATGACTAAATGTGCGTGTGCGGCGCGCTAAACACACGTGCAGCTTGCCCCGATTGCTGTGAGACCGGGTTGGGGGGTGTAGCTGTGGTTGGGACAATTATTACATTAACTGATGGACCTGTAAATAAATAGTTTATAAATAAGGTAGAAATAAGTTCCTCACGCTGATAACTAATAACTAATCTCTCTGAGGACACGGTGCTTGTGCACTCTCCTACAGCACCTTGACACGACTCAATGTTATGCAACATTTTGTGAACATCAATTTCTTTGCATTTATTTGTTATAAATGTCACTGTATGATTCTTGCTGTCAGTATTTGCAAGGTATTGGTATTTGGGTCTGTAGTGGTTAGACTTAAATGAGTTAAACCAAGGTCTATAGCCCTTGGGTCATAGACTGTGAGCTATAAGTATATTGGTCTTTTTATACTGGGAATCAAGAGTTATTTTAGTGATCATCTAGTTTATTATCTTTGTCCTGATTGTGCCCTCAGCAATTTTATGACTGAATAAAAACAAATAAAATCAACATAAATTGAAAAATCGTCCTAAATAATCGTGATCTCAGTTTCAGTCACCATAATCGTGATTATTATTTTTGCCATAATCGAGCAGCCCTATTAACCAGTAAATAACTGCACTCTCACACAACACGCCTGTGTCACTCACGCAACCTCCCTCTCAGCTGTCAACCTCCTCTAGGGAGGCACCGCAGAGCCGCTCAGACTCCATTACCCAACATCCCCAGCGCCAGGCTTCCGGTTCACGTCACCCGCCAAATCTATTTAAGGAAGTGCCGCACAACACCGACTCACGTCGGCATCAACCATCAAGCATTAACCAACCAGGTGCGAGGTCCGCACGGCTCCGCGCGGAAAAGTTGCGTCATTTTAACAACCACGCCCCTCCACCGCGCCTCCGCACGGCCCAGAATTTCCGCAACGCGCACCTCGGAAAATTTCTAACCACGCGGAAAAACATGGCGGACCAGCAAGAACTACTATGGCAGAGGTTCGTAAATAGACATTTGTATGATTCAGCTCTCAGAGGTCACCGTGATCAACATGTTGTTAATAGTTCTTGGAGAGAAATAGCTCGCACTGTCGGAAAAGACGAGAACGCTGTTAAAAATGCTGAAATTCCATGTTGTAAACAGTAAGTTCTACTTCTACTATGGTGTAGTGTTGAATGCATGCTGTAGAGCTCCATGCTGCCCCGTTCAGTTTGGGAGAATATTGGCTCACCGCAGAGACAAGCCGCACAAACCATAAACACTGCGAGTTGTGAAGCGCGTTCCATCCGCGAGCCGCATCACCACGCGGAAAGTGAATGCGTCAAGCATAAAACCAAAGTCATTGTTCGAACCGAACCTAACCCAGAGTCCAAACCAGATTGTCTCAGATCACAAAGCCTGTTCAGATCAGACCAGCCAGATCTAAGAATCCTGCCTGTTCTTAGAGACCAGCCTCAGACCAGGACTCGCCGTGTTCAGCTGTGTCACCAGGTTACCATACAGCTGCGCACTCGGCTCCCAGAACAGCGTGTCCATTCAACCCGGCGTCAGTTACTCCACGCTTGGGTTAAAAGCCACGCCACATCCAAACTCTCGCCCAGCTCGAGTCACCCCGTTACAGCCTGCAGCAACAGTTAGGACTCCTCCCTCCCTTTTTAAAGCGTTTTCGCTTCCTAGGACATTGTGGTTGTAAAACCCCAATGTCTGAGACTCGAGTCTGGTCCCGGTGTGATCAACCAGTTTCTGCGGGAATGTAACGGCGGAACCGGTTCGCAGCAGCGCGAGTCCACCCCCCCTTCGTGTCTTACCGTTAAATGTTACATCACATGCCACATGGACACTCACTCACGCTGCAGATTCAACAAAACTACTTTACTGTTTTCCAAATTATATCACAAGAATAATGAAGCTGCTTGCGTAAAAATCGACACAGCAAATATGTAAGTATTACTTACCATAATAAGAAGTGAACACGCCAGCTGAATACAGCTAATATTGCTTAAAACAAACATACAAACAAACAAACAAACGACAGATAACAATAAGCACAAATGAAATATTCTCCAAAATGCTGCTTTACAACGCTAAAAAGAAGGCAAAACCCCAAGCAAGCCTTTGTAGTGCGCACTGAAACGAGTCTTGTTCAAAGACGTGAGTGGCAGTTGGATTGAAAAATATATAGCCGAATTTGAGCCAATCAGCGGGATAGAATACATCACGTGGAAAAATATCTCCCAATAAGGTTGAAGTCTTTAGAAAACACAATGCGCTAATCCTCCAATCAGTAAGGAAAATCGGAAAATTCAAAATAAACCAATAAGTTTCTTTAACGACACAGCAACGTCACGTTCGTCTCTGATTCCCGTGTTTTACAGAGGCCGCCCCCTCACGTCCAGACAGTCCAGGAGAAGAAGCCGGCATAAGGTTAGTCAATCGATGTTAAAGCTAAAGCTAGCAAAAACTAGCTACTTGCTAGCTGACTAATGTTTGTTGAAATTATTACGATTTGCAGTAAACGATGTCCGGAGAATTGTTCGAGGATGCATAGCTGTTAGCTCAGACTAGCGGTTAGCTCAGACTAGCTTTTGGCTCAGACTAACTGTTAACTCAGACTAGCACTTAGCCCAGACTAGCGTTTGGCTCAGACTAAGACTAGCTTTTGGCTCAGACTAGCGTTTGGCTCAGACTAAGACTACTTTTTGTTTCAAACTAGCGGTTAGCTCAGACTAGCTTTTAGCTCTAACTTGGCAAAAGATGGCTACCACAGATAAGTTTCATCAGCAAACACAAAAATGGCACCAACTCTGTTGGTTTTACATATTCATCTGAAATCTGTTCATTTTTTAGGTCAGTCATTCATATCGAATTACACCAGATCTTATGATTTTGCATGATCCATTATTTTGTAAATCTGATTTCAAGTTCCATGAAAAACAGTGATGTGATGTGATGAAGGGGCTTGACTGTGACCAATAACGAGACAGTTGTAGCTGAGCAATACGGGCCGTGTGATCAAGCCAAAGCTGTGGTCAAATCTAAAGGCAATAAGGAAAAGCATGAAAGTCAGCTGACTAGGTAAAAGATGTTGCGAGGA